GTGATTCTGGGCTGGTCTGTGGTGAGGTGAGGAGCTGGCACCAGCAGGGTCACCAGCAGTGCACTGAGCCTTGGCCCCCATCCTGATGTAGAAGCCCACAGTGTTCATCTGTACTCAGGCCCGGTTCTGATCTTGCACTAGGTCGGCACTCTGAATAGCATCAGAACCCACTCCTTTCACTTTCTAGAGCCAGCTGTGGCCCAGTAGGTAAATGGGATCTGCTCCAAGTGGTAGACCACGTGAGTGGAACCCTGATAACAGAAACCACCCCAATTTCCAGCTCTTGTTCTTTCCTTGAAGACATGGAACTTGGTGTCTACCACATGTCTGATCTTGCTCAGGCTAACATGGATAAGCAAGAAACACTCCCCTAAGCCTGCAGAGTGTGAACACCAGACCCCTGGGGTTGCAAGTCCAGGGCGCAGGCTCTCCCCCAGCTGGCTGCCCTTTGTTCCATCTTCCCCGGCTTCCTCTCTGACCCTGCTTCTCTCCTTTGTCTCTCCAGTTGGACCTGACTTTCGTTGGTGTAGTTGGCATGTTGGACCCACCCCGAAAGGAGGTCACAGGCTCCATCCAGCTGTGCCGTGATGCTGGCATCCGGGTGATTATGATCACAGGGGACAACAAGGGCACAGCCATCGCCATCTGCCGACGCATTGGCATCTTCGGCGAGAATGAGGAGGTGACAGACCGTGCTTACACTGGCCGAGAGTTTGACGACCTGCCCCTGGCCGAGCAGCGGGACGCCTGCCGCCGTGCGTGCTGCTTTGCTCGTGTGGAGCCCTCTCACAAGTCCAAGATCGTGGAGTATCTGCAGTCCTTCGATGAGATCACAGCCATGGTGAGGAGATGGAAACGGAGGCACTGAGGCAGCCTTCTCATCCCTGGAGAGCAGTACCTTAAGGAATCGGGGGCACAGGAGGGAGGCACTAAGTGGGAGAGCCACGGACTGGAAGGGTTCCCAGGAGTAGGCTGTGGAGAGGGGCCCTGAGTCCCACCTTCTCTCAGACAGGTGATGGCGTCAATGATGCTCCTGCCCTGAAGAAGGCTGAGATTGGCATTGCCATGGGATCTGGCACCGCTGTGGCCAAGACTGCCTCGGAGATGGTGCTCGCAGATGACAACTTCTCCACCATTGTGGCTGCCGTGGAGGAGGGCCGAGCCATTTACAACAACATGAAGCAGTTCATCCGCTACCTCATTTCCTCCAATGTGGGTGAGGTGGTCTGGTGAGCAAGCGGACTTCCAGGATAGCCCGGGGCTGGGTGGGGCTCAGCCCGGGCTGGAGTCAGGACCATGCCCAACTGCCTCCTTCCTGCAGCATCTTCCTGACTGCTGCCTTGGGGCTGCCTGAGGCCCTTATCCCCGTGCAGCTGCTGTGGGTCAACCTGGTGACAGACGGGCTCCCGGCCACAGCCCTGGGCTTCAATCCCCCCGACTTGGACATCATGGACCGGCCCCCCCGCAGTCCCAAGGAGCCCCTTATCAGTGGCTGGCTTTTCTTCCGCTACATGGCAATTGGAGGTGAGCAGGTTGACATGCAACCCTACCCCCAGTCCTTCCCAGCCCTGGGGAATCCCTTCTAAGACCCCAGTTCCCCCAGGGCAGCTGCTGTGAGGGGCCTCGTTCTCAGCCAGCTGTCCATGCCTTGTGAGGCCCTCTTTATTGTGACTTGAGTATAGGTTTACAGAGTACATCATCAGTTTCACATTCAGCAAATCATACACTTTATTTCATTACAATGATTGCAATCCCCTCCATGTACTGCTAGAATTTACTTGTATTCACTTTAACTCTTGCATTCCTCCCCATGTCTTCTGCTGCCTTCAGCTTTCCTCTGCCAACTTCCCTCTTGTATATTGCCTTCTCTGTCACCCATGTTAACATGTCTACCCTGCAGCCTGTGAATAACTCTCCCTAACTTCCTACACCTGGAAACCATCATAGAATATTTCTTTCATCAAGAGAACATTTTCTTTTTTTACAATAGTGGTCTGTTTTAAAACAGTGGGCTCACAAAAGTGTCCTTTTGTGACTAATTTCACTCAATATAATGTCCTCCAGGTTCATCTGTGGTGTGAGGTGTTTCGCAGATTCGTTATTCTTCAATTTTGCAGAGTATTCCATTGTGTGTGTACCAAAGTTTACCCAATCTTCTGTTGAGGAGCATTTAGGCTCTCTCCATCTTTTTGCTATTGTGAATAGTGCTGCCGTGAACACTGTTACTGTTAAGTGCCTGCCGCTGAGTGGGTTTCAACTCATAGTGACCCTGACCTTGGAGTTAGCAGAGTCCTGGTGTGGCACTGTAGGATAAGCTTAGGACCCAAAGGTGGGTTTTAACCGCAAGGTCGGCAGTTCAAACTCACCAGCTGCTCCTTGGAAGTCAGTCGTAACTGACTCAGTGGCACTTAGTGGCTTATATTCAACAGTGTCACACCAGGACATGGGTGTGCAATTATCTATTTGTGTCATGGTTCTTAATTCTTGAGGATGCACATCAAGTAGAGGGCTTGCTACATCAGACAGTATTTCTATTTCCAACTTGTTGAGAAAGCGCTATTCCATTTTACAGTCCCACCAGCAGTGTAGGAAGGTCCCAGTCTCTCCACATCCCTTACCAGCATTTGTTGTTTTGTTTTTTTTAAACTTTCCTATTAATCATGTGAGACCCTCTTGATACCTCCCAACTCCTAGCCTTGACTCCTATCTTCCACCACAGGTTATGTGGGTGCAGCCACTGTGGGAGCAGCTGCTTGGTGGTTCCTCTACGCAGATGACGGGCCTCATGTCAACTACAGTCAGCTGGTAGGGAGAGGGCTGAGCGGAGGGCGGGCACCACAGGCATGCAGGGAGCCCGCATGGGGGCTCACTGGCCTATCACTCCCCTTTGCCTGCAGACTCATTTCATGCAGTGCTCGGAGGATAACCCCGACTTTGAGGGTCTGGACTGTGAGGTCTTTGAAGCCCCTGAGCCCATGACCATGGCCTTGTCTGTGTTGGTCACCATTGAGATGTGCAATGCTCTCAACAGGTAAGGTTGCCCACCTGCCCCTGTCCCCCCACCTCCCCACCACTTCTTTGTCTCCACCATCCATTTCCTGCAGCCTGTCTGAGAACCAGTCCCTTATGCGGATGCCTCCCTGGGTGAACATCTGGCTGCTGGGCTCCATCTGCCTCTCCATGTCCCTCCATTTCCTCATCCTCTATGTCGACCCATTGCCGGTGAGCCTTCTGCCCAAGGACCACCTGCCCCCCCACTTCCAAAGGGAACCTGGGTAGGGCCTGAAATCACTCCAGCTAGAAGTTCCAGAGAGTGGCAGGAGGGTGGTCTCAAGGTTGGATCTTCTGGCTTCCTCCTAAGTGGGGTACTTGTCCTTTTTCTCTGCTCCCCTCAGATGATCTTCAAGCTCCGGCCTCTGGATTGGACCCAGTGGTTCATGGTCGTTAAAATCTCCCTTCCAGTCATCGGGCTAGATGAACTCCTCAAGTTCGTTGCTCGGAACTATCTGGAGGGTAAGCAGCTTCCCCTTAGAGCTTCACGAGTCCTGGGACCCCAGACAGTTCCCATTGTGCGCTGCGCCTGTGTCTACACTTCCTTTCCAGAAGGGTGTGCCCCTCTGGCCCTCTAGGGCCAGTGTCCACCAGGGAAGAGCATCCAGACCTCTCTCACCGACTCTCCCCATTCTCTCTCTACACCTGGAGCCCCCAAACTCTTCACCCCTTCCCCCCTCCTTGGTAACGGCTCTCTCTGTCCTCTCTGGCCATAGGATAACCTGTCCCTACTCCTCCATCTCTTTGAATCCGTGTCACAGGTATTGCCCCTTTCTTGCCCTTGGTCCCAGCTGCTCTGCTGCTGCCTGCCCCCCACCCTGTCCACACCTGAGGTCACTTGCGCTCGCAGCTCCACCCGGAGCCACTGCTGCTGCCGCTGCCACCCATGCCTGAGAGTCAGCACTGCTCTCCTGGGTGTCCCCCCTACCTTGGTGGCGCCCCAGGGACCCAAGGTCGGCTAAGCTGTGCTGCGCTGTGCTGCGCCGCGCCGCGCTGGCTGGACGCTGAGCTATCTGCTGCCAGGGCTGCAGTGGGTGGGGAAATGGGGTCTGGGGGTACAGGTGAGTAGGGAGGGCAAAGGGCAGGGTGGGCCTCCAGGTGAGTGCTGGGAGCCTGCCAGGAACTTTCCTTCTCCTGGCCCCACCGCATCATCCCGTCTCTCTCATTCCAGACCCAGAAGATGAAAGAAGGAAGTGACAGTCCCTTCGTCCCCCTCCCCCACCCATAGGGATGCATCTTCAGCCTGGCTGTGTCCCAGGCCCAGCCCACACCATCCACTCCCATTTCGGTTTCGTTTATAAACTCACATCCCTCCCTTTTAACCTTGCAAAACCTTCCCCCTCCTCCACTGACCTCGTGGGGTTCACAGGGACAAGGCGACTGATCGATCTGAGCTGCTTATTTATTGAAAATAAATGACTGAAAAGTCTGGGCTCACCTATGTGCACATCTTAGGGTCTGGGCAGGGCCCTTGTGGACTAGCACCTTAGTGTCATGCAGTCCAGAAAGCAGCTGCCTGTCCTAGGGCATGTGTGTGAGTGCCCAGGTATGCACACAGACATGTTTCTGTCTTACGCACGTACTCTGGTATGTGCATGTACATGTGTGAATGAGCGTGCATGCGTGTGTGTGTGGGAGATAAAGAGACCATGACTGGCGGATCCCAGCTTGGGGATAGGACTGGGACAGGCGGTAACAGACATAGGCTTGGTGGTAGGGGATGGGGAAGGAAGCATGGGGCCCTTGGAAGCAGCACAGTGGCCAGAGAGCTACAGGGCTGAGCCTGCACCTTTGGTTCTGGGAGGGGGCTGGGCCCCTTACCCAGGTGTCATCCCTGAGAGTAGAAGACTCAGCCACCCCGGGAAGGAGGTGCTGGGGGAAAAGTAGTGACGGCTGTCTCCTTAGCCCTAAGCCTGCTGAGAGCAAACTCCATCCCAAGTCCCCAGTCCTCAGGTGTCCTGGATGTCCCTAACGTCCCTGAGGGGTGCCTCATCCAGGACGCTGTGCACTTGCTCCAGATTCTCTGCCTGGCGGATCCGTTCTAGGCGCATCTGTAGGGATGAGTGAAGGATGCAGAGGACCACCCTACCTCTCCCACCTAATGGTGGACTCAGAGGAAAAGGGTCCTAAGAGAACAGCCTATGGAAGTCTGGGAGGGCTGACCACTGGTGGGGTATTCACACCATACATCACACACCTGTGAGCACCAGGCCCAGTGCTGAGGCCTTCTTATGACTAAGACTGCACAAAAAAGACTTTCTCGGAGCCTTGATTCAGAGATAGGCCATACCAGTCCCAGGAAGAGAAGGAAGTGTGTCCCATTGGGGGACTGGTGTCATGCAGCCTGGTGGGGAAGGGACAGGCCATACCTGCAGGGCCTGGGACAGACGTACGAAATCCCGCTGCACCTGCTCACTGGTCTCCAGCTCCGCCTGCAGCCGCAGCACCTTGGCCCTCTGTTCTGAGATGAGGTCGGTCAGTGGAGCCTGAGGAACAGGATGCTGAGCTGGGGCCAGACGGGAGGCCCGTGGCCAAAGGAATGGGATGTCTGGACATGGCAAGCCCCTTTGATACCACCCACAACTCTGACCTCCTCTGGCTGTCTGGAGGCGGGTGATGGCCTTGGTGCTTCCTGTCGCCCAGCCTGAGGGAGGGAGACATACAGGGCAGGAAGGGCCGGTGGGTCGGTGTCTCCGCCATACTGCAGTCATCCGCCATCACCCCAGATCAGCCCTGAGAACTCACCTTGCTTTGTTCCTGCTGGACTCGCTCTAGCTCTGTCCTCAGGCTGCACAGTGAAGCTGGCAAGTCAGGTATAGGGGCAAGTGTCAGGCCCGCACCTGTGCCCCTCCCCATCCTCCACCCCCCCAGCAGGCTCCAGCCCATACTCACCCTCTAACACCTCTGTGTGGAGAGGAAAGAAAGAGGGCAGGGTGAGTTCTCATGTCTGGTCCCCATGGGGAGAGGGGAGTGGGGGCCTATCTCCGCCTGCCTCACCTGTCTCCTCCCGCTGCACCCTCAACTGCCCCTCCAGGCTGGCCCTGGTTGCTGTTTCCTCCTCCAGTGCCTCCCGTAACGTTACAATCTCAATGCGCAGGCGTTCAGCCTCATGCTCCCAGGCTTGCTGACGAACCCGCGTCTCCTGCCGCGTGCATCGCACCAGCTGCTGTAGCTCCTAGAAGGTATAGAAGTCATAACTGGATGCAGGGCAGGATGACAATGGCCACTGGGCAGGTGGGGGTCATGGGAAGCAAGGCAGGAGGAGGAGGAGAAAGGGGAAGAGAAAGGAAGGGAGGAAGGAAACATGATGGGCAGCAACCCCAATGCCCATCATAGGAAGAACGAATAAAACCCTGTGGGCCAGCAGTGGCCATTAAACACAGTGGAAATGAACAGCAACAGCCACACACCACAGTGAGGGACTCTAGGCAATGGTGCTGAGTGAAAGTTCCAGAAGGTCATCTATAGCAAGATACCCTCTTAAAACAGTGAAGCACACCATTGTTCAGGCGTGCATATACACATGTATAAGGAACTCCTTGCAGCGCACTGGTTATGAGTTGGGCTGCTAACCTCAAGGTCAGCAATTCGAAACTACCAGCTATTACGTGGGAGAAAGATGAGGCTTTCTGCTCCCATGAAGATTTACAGCCTCGGAAACCCTGTACAGGGTCGCTCTGAGTCAGAACTGACTCTATGGCACACCACAACCACCACCATATACACGTGTAACCCCAAGTACACTAAAAACGCGGCAAGGGGGCCACTAAATGAGAGCTCGGGTGCACACAAGTTGAAGCAAGTTCCAGTTTCCCAGTGAGGAAGAGTTCAAAGTGTTCTTCAACTTTTCAATAAATTATTAATTATTAATGAACTATGCTAACAAGGGACTCCTGGTGTGGTGCTGAACTTTGATCCACAAGGTTGGCAGTTCAAATCCACCAGTGGTTCCTCAGAAACCCTATACGGTGTCACTATGAGTCAGAATCAACTCAACAACACTTCACAACAACAGCATTAACAATAAATTTAGGCCAACGAAGACCAATGAGAACACCGTTTCATGAACCACACATTCAATGTAGTGGATCTGATGTCACTGATGTCACTTAAAAATAACCAACCAACCAAATGACTGATTCTTTTGAGTCAAGCATTCTGTTAACGTGCCAATGCTGGGAAGGGGGTGCGGTCCCATTTTATAGGCGAGGAAGCTGAGCCTTACAGACAGGGAGTGATGCAGCTGAGACATGGTCGGTCAATCAGGCGAACACTGCACTGTCCCAGAGAGGAAGGCCTGACAGCATCTCCCGCACTCATTCTCCTTACCGATACTGAGCCCGGCAGTGCCTCTTTCCCATTGTCTTCCTGCGTCAGGCCTTGGGAGCCTCCTGATGGAGGCTGCTCTGCCCGGAGCCCTTGGTTCTCCTCATTCAGCCGCTTCACTTCATGACTCAGGCACTTATGGGAGGTGACCAGCTCTGCCTATGGAGGGGCAGTTAGCAGAGGTGATGAGGGGGACAGGGTGTCTATTTCCCTATGAGATCAAATCCTGGACCCTGCCAGCCATGACTGACAGATGGAGCACCCACGCCTTCCTTATCTACCAAGAAAGGACAACATCCTGTCTTAAGTCTCAGTCACCAAGTGTGTTTCCACCCTGCCCCACTGATAAGAGCTTGCACCCTGGCAGCCCAGAGGCCATATCTGGCATTTTAGTTGGTCCACATGGTTTTTAAATAAACTTCTTGCCAACTTTAAAACTTGGACATCATATAAATATCCAGATTTCTAGCTTCCCTTGAAAGCCCAGACAATCTGGCTGTGTGCAGCTTGTGTTCTGCAGGCAAGGATCAGGGGAGCCCTCTCCAGTCAGGCCCCAGCTCCCCGGCTCGCTCGCAGTGGTTCTCAACACTCGTGGCTTCACAGCTGGTCTGGCTCAACCATTCACCTCTGCCCACAGGTGTCTTTGAGCCCCAACTTTCACACTCTCAGCATTTCACCCTCCTGAATCTGAAAACTAGCTCCCCTTATCTCCATTCTAAGGACTGAGGCCCCAAGTCTGTGAGTCTGGGGCTCAAGCCCCCACCAACCACAGCACCAAGCTGCCCTGGCAGCCCCTTAACCCATTAAGTACCAACTCCAGGGTATAGCTGGAGTAGTGAAGGGTTCTCAATTTTCCATGTGTGTTCCCCACCCCTACCCCCTCAATGTCCAGATTCCTGTCAGACTGCACTCCTGGCCTGCTCCTCACCATCTGTAGCTGAACCCGTTCTTGGGCCTGGCTCATGGTCCCCTGCAGGGTCCGCAGCAGCTGCTCTGAGTTCTGGACTTGGGCCAGGAGCACCTGCATCTGTGGGTGGAAAGAAGATGAGGGTGAAGCCAGGAGCAACCCCCAAGAGAAGGCAGGGAATAAGAGGGTGTGCAGGGGCCAGAGCTGAGCTGGGACCCACCTGCTTAGTACAATCCTCATTGCTGCGTGTCAGGCCTTCTTGTAGCTCATCCCGCTCACGGCTCAGACTCTCGAGGTCCTTCTGCAGCTGCCGCCTCTGCCACAGAGCCCTGGCCTCAGCCTCCATTTCCCCAGCTTTGGCCTCCCCACCTTCCTGCCTCTTATCCATTTTCATGCGTCTTTTGTCTAGAGTCTTCCATACAACACTTCAGGCCAAACACCCAGGAACTAATTTAGCCTCACTGACTTCCTTGTCCTTCATTCCCCATTTGGCAGGCCCATGACGCCTGTCCTCCCTGAATGCTCCTCTTCCCCTGTGCACCTCCCTCCCCTCTGGGGCCTTCCGAATTCTCAGACAAACTGTGGTCTATCCATCCTCAGGGCCTTGGATTTCTCCCTGCAGTTCCTCTGCCCCTGAACTTCAAAGAATGTCTCCTTTTCATCCTGCGGCGGGTGCTAGCTCCAGCCCTTGCCAGTCTCCACCCCGGGACCATACTCTGTCATCTTCTGAGCCTATCACTCTGTGACATTATTCTCCTCAGGTGTCCATGTGCATGTTCAAGTCTGGTTCCCTTCCCTAGGAGGAAGCTCTAACAAAGTAGGAGCTGCCCTTCTTCACTGGGGTCTCACCAGTAGGCACTTACTAAGTGCCTGGAGAAGGGAGACATGGACAGACCAGACCTCACCTCTATCTGCAGCTGCTCCCACTGGTTGTCTGGGACAAGCTGGTAGCCAGGAGGGGGCAGGTAGATGCCCTCAGGGACCAGGGTGCCCGTGGATACCAGGGAGGCTGTCTCTTCCTGCTCAGGGCTCAGGCCCTGGCGACCATGGGGTAGGGAAGTGCTGCTGCTGGCCCCGCCGCCAAGGGAGAAGGAGGAGATGGAGGCACTGTCGTCACAGTTGTGGGCAAAGGCCTCAGCTGCTGCACCCCCGTCTCCACTCAGCTCCTCCAAAGGCTCCAGTGGGGGAGACGGGTCCCGGGACAAGGACAGCAACTCCGTGGAGCCGTGCAGGGAAGGGGGTTGCCGGGGCCGTCTCTAGGGGAGAAGAGGTAGGGACGAGGCTGGGGGATTGGGTTCCTGCAACAACCCTTGCTCCCTCCAGGCCCTGGCGGCCCCTCACTTGGATCTCGTGAATCAGCTCTTCCGCCCTCAGCAGCTTCGCCTTCAGCTCCTCGATCTCCTGCTCCATGGGCAGTACAATCTCCCGCAGTTTCTCTGAGTCCTCGTGGGCCTGGGAACATGGGGTCGGCAGCGACAATCCCCTCTCCTAACTGCTGGACCCTCAGGTCTGCATAGTGCTCACTCTCCAAACACATCAGCTCTTCTCGTCCTTGCAAGAAGGCAGCTTCCCACCCCATCCCATTATAGAGATCAGAAAACAGAGGCTCTTAGAGATTACAGGAGTCCTGGTGTGGTGCTGTAGGATAAGCACTGGACCATAAGGTCAGTTTGAACCACAAGGTCAGCGGTTCAAACTCATCAGCCGCTTCTCTGAAACAGTACACATGATTGCTATGAGTTGGAACTGACTCAATGGCACCTAACAACAAGAGATGAGACATGGCCTAGGCCACTTGACAGGTAAAGAAGCAAAGGTCACAACTTGCTCACGCTTTTTTCCCCCAACATTCATTTCCCTTTTTTTGGTCATAAAATCTCACATTTTAGTTAGTCACATGGCCTCAATTCTAGAACACCATCCCCATTTCTCAGCTTCCCCTGCAGCTAAATGTGGCCATATGATGAGGTTCCGGTTCATGAGATATAAGCAGATGTGCCACATGCAAGTTCCTTAAAGAGAGAGGGTCTCCTCTTCTCCTCTTTTCTTGCTGGCTGGAATGTGGGCATGAAAGCTGGCACTCCAGCAGTCATCTTGGACTATGAGGTCAAGGTTAAAACAGTAAGTAATACAGGAGAAGCCCATGCTCCCAATGACTTGCAGAGTTGTCACACCAGCCCTTGAAATGTCTACCTATGGACTTCAAGAAAAACAGAATTCTATCTTTTTTAAGCTACTGTTAGATTTTCAGTCATAAGGCCAACCCTCCTACTGCATTACCATCACATTGCTGACCATTCCTTTGGGGTCCCTTTTCAGGCTGGGAGTCCTACTAAGCCTGCAGTCAGGAGCCTCTGGATGTCTCCACTTGAACATTCCACAGGCGTCTCTAACCTTACCAGCCCAAACTGAACCAGTACACCAAGGCTGTTCCTCTTCCCACAAGCACATCCACCCAGCTGCTCAAGGCAGAATATTCCAGTTATTCCTGTCTCCTCCTTCTCTGTCATCACTACGCTCATCCGATTCATGCTTCACCTCCTGAATCACTCTCCAATCTGTCTCACCCAAATCCAGTTTAACTCTCCAAACTTCTTACGTGAACACTGGCGAGAGGCAGGATAGGCCTGCAGGGCCCCAACAAAACCTTCAGATTGTGACTGAGTTCTAGGGTACTCAGGCAGATGCTCACTGGGGGGAGAGATGGCTGGGCCAGGACCGGAATCAACCCGACTTAAGAGCTGATGTCCTTCCACAGTACCAAGTGGCTTTAATTGATCAGAGCTATTCTGTCGCTGCTCTGTATAACTGCTCCTGGAAGAACATTCTGGATGCCAGCCACGGCCACTGCGGGGAACCTGTGGGCTGAAGTTTTCCTTTGTTGGGCTCCTGTTTTTGATCTTTCTTTCTAACCAGGCAATTTACTGCATCTCAGGCCTCTGAACTTGTTTCTTCATGCATAAAATAAGGTATTAATAAATACCTATCTCCTAGGGCTGCTGGGACCATCCAACGAGATACCAATGTGTAATTGCTTTGAAAGACAATGAGTGTGATAATAATACGTACTTGCTGCTGATGTCAATAATAGCAAAACAATTACAGTAATAACCAAACCCGCTGCCATCAAGTCAGTTCCGGCTCACAGACACCCTACAGGATGGAATAAAACTGCTCTCCTGGGTTTCTGAAACCGTCTATCTTCATGGGAGCATACAGCCTCGTTTCTCCCAATGAGTGGCTGGTAGGTTTCAAGCACTGACCTTGTGGTTAAGCCACACTTAATCCATTGTATCACCAGAGATCATCGTACGTGCCAACCTTACATCGTAAACAACTGTTCATCTGGCAAACACTTAGCACAGTAAATATATGATAGGTATCACTAAGTGTTCATTTTCTTCTCTCTTAATTTTGGAGGTAAATTGACGTGCCCTAAGTGTCCCCACTAAGAACCCTGCTTCATGTGCAGCTAAGCACCCCACTGTACTGGGAACTCTGTGCTGTGTCTAGAATTAGCTCCCAAAGTGATCTGGAAACGGGACACCAGCCATCCTGCCCCACTGTCTCTGCTGGCTGCCTCAACCTCTTTCCAAATCCAGGGAGGAGGGGAGCCATCTTAGCCCCAACCTTTTCCATCTGCTTCTCCAAGGAGTCCAGGGGGTGAGCACGGGACAGCAGCTGCTTCAGCCGGCCCAGCTCCCGCTCCTTCTCCTGACAGTCCTGCTGCTGTTGCTGCCGCTCCTGCTTCAGAGAGGCGATCCGGCCTTCGTAGCTGCCGATGGAGTCTGGTGAGGCAGGAAGGGGCAGGAGAGGGAGCATCAGTGTGCAGGCCCGACCTGTGGTGAGCTGGGACTCTGCGTGCAACGACACTCTGCAAGGAATTGCTCAGAGTGGTAAAGACAGCCGCTTTTCACAGAGAGGGACCTGAACCTGAACCCCTACTTAACCTCATGGGATATGGGCCATCATTTACTTGTCTTTTGTGTGCATTTGTCCTCATGCTGCAAAAGAAAGGGTGATACTGACAATGAGGCTGTAAACGGATTAAATGAGATGAATGTGTATATTCTGGTATACAGTCAATGTTTAACACATAGCACCTACTCCTATTCACAAGTACCAATCACAATTGTTATTGAATTATAGCAATAAAGATTCACTTTTGACCAGACACTGAGTTAGACTCTGGAAATAGAAAAATCAATCCCAAGCAGACCCAGCCACCAGGAGCTCAGGATCCAACGGAGAAGGCAGTGGTGGAAATCGTTAAAGTGCAATGTGAGGAGAGCTGTATAATGACCTGGCCTGGGCACATGGACTCCACAGGGAGGACATGCCAGGTGGCCAGGGAGGGAAAGCATAGGAAGGACCAAAGGTTTGAAGGTGGGACAGTGGCTGGTGTGTTTGGGACACGGTGGGAGAACCCAAGTGAAGGTGCTCAAAGACAGATGACGGGCACTCGGGAGAGAGAGGGTGGCACTAACTGCCACTCAAAGGAGTTTGGAATTTATTCTGTATGTCATTGGGAAGTGGCAGCGATACTAGTTGGAACATGGACATTATTGGTCAAACGTGGTCATTATTTGCTTAGCTGTTTATGTTAAAGTGTACTAACATTGGGAATATAGGTTTTGCTGCCAGACTGCCTGGGTTCAAATCTTCTGCCACTTTCTGGCTGTGTGACCATAGGTAAGTTATTTACCTTTCTGGGCCTTACAGACAACTCAGAAAAATGGAGACAATCATTCCTACATCATAATTTATTATGAAGATTAAATACTTGTACCGTGCTTGGCATATAGCACGTACTCAACACTGCTCTTTATTTTCTTATATAGTAGAGTTAGAGTTTCCTTTAGAATACATTTACATTAAGTTTTAAGAAAGTAGGTCTATTTTAAAGAATAAATAGTAAGTACATAACAGGCTACAGCACACGAGGGTCAGACATGAGGCTACCACATATGAGGGTTACACAGGTAGATGCCTGACATATGGGCAATTTGGCCCCAAAGCAGTCTGCAGCAGGAAAGATTTTTAGAAAGGGAAATGACATGGTGAGATGGGAATTTTAGGAAGTTTACTTTTCAAGTCATTATCATGGAAAAAGGGCTGGGGAGCTAACTGTACATGTCCAGTACCGTGGAGGAAGAGACGGGGTGAGACGTGGATGCAGGGGGTGTTGGAGAAAAATAAAGAAACCGCAGGTGTAGCCTCAAGTCTCATGATGAATGGGCTCAGGGCTGGGTGTGAAGCCTATAGGGCCAGACTAAAATGAGGCTGGTTCACGGAACTGAGAAGAGCACTGCTCATCTTCAGGGCTGACCAATCAACAGCCAGGGACAAGAACACACTGGGTCCAGGGAGCAGCGATGCTCAGAGCTAAACTTAGCTGTAACTGGCAGCCTGCTGCGGCACATGAGGGGCCCCTAGCAAATGGGAGGGCTCCCACTCCTCTACTGACCTACCCTGGTAATGTTTGGCTGAAGGCTTTCTTGTTCCCACGCCCTCGTATGGGGCTGACGGGCAGAGTACAGGGGAAGCTCCCTCACCTTTCAGGATGGCTTGCAGAGAGGCCACCTCTTCTTGGCACTGCCGCCGCACTGCTGCCACGGCCTCGGCCTTCGTGCTCTCGCTTACCTCCGCCACTGCCTTCATGGTCTCCATTTCGGCCAGGGCGCCCGCCAGCTCGGCTCGCAGTCTGCAGAGCTCCCCGGATTCGGGCTCAGCCTTTGCCCCCTTTTGGGACTGGGGGTCCAGTGCTGTGGGGGGCAAGGATCAACCTCTCCTTTCATCACTTCCCAGATCCCAAACCTCCCTGGCAAGTCTGTACCTTGCTAACTAGGACTGGGGCCAGAGTGCCCCTACATTCACCTGGCTCCACCCCCTCACCTGCCCCGCCCCTTCCGAACTAGCTCCACCGGTTACCCCAAGCCCCGCCTCTTCTTGGCTTCTACGTTCACAGAATTCCCTCCATTTTCTAATGACTTGGCCCCTCCCTTCTGATGGCCCCACCCCCTCTGTCTACCTGGTCCCGCCCCTACCCTCAAAGGGCTGCACCTCTTGTCACCTGCCCTACCTTTAGAATTGTCAGGCCACGCCCCCTACGCCAGGGGCTCCAGGCCCCGCCTTCCTTCTTTCCCGGCGGCGTGGCCCCTCCCCTCTCGCCCGGCTCCCCTCACCAACCCCTCTACGCCGGCTGCCGAACTCAGACCCTTCGCTGGCTTCACCGCCTCTAGCATGCATGGACGCACCCTCACGTACCGACCCCCGGCTGCCGCTGGCCATCATCACCCGCAGCCGCCGACGCAGCTGCCGCCATCGCTTCTGTGCAAACGGCGGATTCCCGCACTCCCTAGTGACCGCGCTCACCGCTTCCGGGTCCTTTCGGTTGTTTCCGGATCCGTTCGGCTGTTTCCGGATCGGTCCCGGGCTCGGACGGAGACCGGAGATGGCGGGGAGGAGTGCGGGTCCTGAGCCGAAGATCCGCTCCAGGTCCCGCCCCAGCCCCACCTCCTTTCCCAGCCGCGCTCTGCGTAGAGGACGCCTGCCCTTCAAACCTCAAAGACGTGCACTCTTCAAAGGCCCCTACTAGAGTCTCCTCGTGACCTTGGAAGTTCGGTTCAAATTACACCTCCTCCAGGACTCCTGCCAATCTCAGCTAACGGAGGGCGAAGCTCGCCTTTGATCGGCCCTTGCCTGCCTTTCCGCTCACGTTACAGGAATTGAGACTGGGCCCTCCCTGCGCCTCCGCCCTCGTGCTGCGTCCCTTGGGCATGGCTGAGGCGGCTTCGTTTTCCTCGGTGCGTCTGAGGACCCGCTCCCTTCTCCCCTCCCGCCCTGTTGCTGTCCACCAGTTGTAGAAGCGGAAATTTCCACGTTCTCACCGCATTCTGAGATCCAACCAGTCACCTCTTCCTCCTAATCCCTCTCTCCTCACAGACCCCTTCTCTTTCCCTGACCAGTACCCTTAAGTCGAACTCTCATTATCTGCGCCTCCCCATCCAAGAGCCCACCTGATGTCTTCCCCCTGGACGAAAAATCTGGATTCACCTCTCCCGAATCTGTTTATCCCTTTGGTAAAGAACACTTTGGGCTGCTGACCTCAAGTTCGGCAGTTGGAATCCACCAGCCCATCTGTGCGAGAAAAGTAAAGCTTTCTGTTCCATAAAATGTACGGCCTCTCGTGGGAATCGACTGGATGGTACACAGTCACCGCCACCACCACAGGACGACACCCCAGGCACCTAGAAGCCCCTCTTGATTCTTCTTTCCTCCTGCAAGTCCTGTATGCTCAACCTCTGATGTAGTGAATATTCTAGACGGTGTCTGTCCGTTTTTCTCCATCTTCAGAGCTAATTCCCAGTCCCATCATCTTTCCTGAATTTCCACAAGTTTCCTAACTATTCGCCTCTTAACTTCTTTGGTTTATTCTCTGCGAGGTAACTGGAGTGACTTGTAAAACAGATGATGTCTCATTCATGCTTAAGCCAATATGAACTACATCCCCAGGTCAATCCAATATGAAAAGGGAAGAACATGAACAGACATTTCGCTGATGTCACAGTTTGGAGTTGTAGGATAAGCACTGGACTGCTAACCACATGGCTCAAACCCACCAGTCGCTCCTTGGAAACCCTATGATGAGTTATGATGACTTGGAATCTACTAGATGGCACACAACAATGTGCTCCACCATATTCATCAGGGAACAGACACATTTTATTTAGCAAGAAGGCTCTAACTAGCATGCCTGGCAACCAGAAAACCAATGAAGGAGAGCAGAGAGATTTTGTTGAATGAAAGGCAAATGAAGGTCCTGCCACAGTGTTCTTTCTAGTCCCCCAAGCCCCACTCTTCCTCTCTTAGCTGCCTCAACCCAGACAAAGGGAAGTGGGGCCCTGCCACCTGGAGGGTCCCCTGGGGTTTGCTTGGGGCAAACAGGAAGCCACAGGTCAGTAAGACAGCTCTGGGAATCAGCAACTGAGAAAGCAGTTCTCTGTGCCCCTGGATCTTTTCCTTGAGTTCCTGCAGCAGGGAAAACCACAGAAACATACTCACACAGATAAAGAGAGAGGGACTGACAGAGACCAAGCAAAGAGGGGAGAGCAGATTCAGGAGTCCTGGGTTCACCAGCTCAATGTGTGGTCATGGACAACACCCTACCTTTCTCTGGACCTCAATTTTCACATTTCTAAATGGGCTCCTTCCATACTGAAGTAAGGGCTTTCTGGGGAGGAACTGGGAGAAAAAGAGGCACTAATGATCAGTCATTTCTAAGGACCCACACAGGCACCTGCCAAGCCAGCTTTATGTATGTTGACTGATTTCTCCACAGAACAATATATGGGGTAGAGTCTCTCTTATTATCACCTCCAGTTTATGGATAAGGAGACTTGTTTTGAACCCAGTCAGTCTGGCTTGAATCTGAGTCTTAACCATGCTGTCTCTCATTACCTGGGGGCTACTATGTGCTGTGGGTTAATGCACCAGACTGCAAAGCTGTTTGAACTGCACGGTCGGCTGTTTAAGCTCACTAGCTGCTCCTCAGAAACCCTATACAGGGTTGCTATGGGTCGGAACTGACTCGACGGCACTTCACAACAACAACAACTGTGTGCTGGGCACCGAGCTAAAAAGGCCTCATGTACATTGTCCTGTTTAATCTTCAGAAACAAACAAAAATATTAGTATTCCCAGTTTACCAAGAAGGAAGCTGGGTCTTAGATGAAATACTTTTTAAATTAGCTAAACAGTGGAGGTAGAGGATTCAAAGTTAGATCACCCAGACCCCAAAGTGTGTGTGACAGAGCTGTTATGTGGACGTGAAAGGAGGCCAAGAAACCTTTGTTGAAGGATGAATGGGGTGTGTGTGAAAGGAAATGGATTTGACCCTGGTGTTGAGAGAAGCCTGGGGAAGAATGGACCCACTAAGGCTGAACGCAAATGCTTATTGGGTGCCTGTGTGGCACTGTGGGTTAATGCACTGGACTGCAAGGTTGGTTTGAGCTGCAAGGTCCGCAGTTCAAGCTCGCCAGCTGCTCCTTGGAAACCCTATACAGGGTCACTATGAGTTGGAACTGACTCCATGACAAGTATGTGCTAAGCACTGTTGGCGCAGTGGACATACACTGGTGAGCAAGACCGCATCTCTGTTGCAAGAGGTTTATATTCTAATAGGGAAACAGAAAGTTAGCAAGTTCATAAGTGCACAAATAGGGTCAGTTCACAAAGTGGTACCCGGGGATGGAAATAAAACAATGTAGCACTAGGGAGGTGAACTTTGTGGGGTGGGGGTGGTGCTTGGGAAAGGGGGCCTGAGGCATGACCACCCCTTCCTCCCTAGGGGACCTCCCACCCGCCCACACAGACAACCATGGTTCAGTGCTCCCCCTAGGCCCTTGTCTGCCCCAGCATCCCCTGCGCCACCCTGCGCCGGGAAGTTGGGCGCCCCGGGGAGCCTGGCCACCATGCCACCTCCTCTCCTTCTTTTTTCTCTCTTTTTCCTTATTCCGGAGGGAGTCAGGCCCCAGAAACAAATGGTGGTGACTGTTGAAGGTATGTCCGAAAGGCATAGAGGGACGGGGTGGGGACTGGAACCCTGAGTGCCCTGGCCAAGTGACTTACCCTTTTTGGGCCTCCATTTTCTAACTTCTTAGATTCAAGAACGGGTTGGAAGGACTCTGAGGGCTCATCATACCCTTAGCTTGTGGGGTCCTTGAGTTTAGGTCCCAGTATGAGGAGAGAAGGAGGGCTTGGGGCTTCTCTTGATTTCTCTCCACAGAAGGAGATGACGCCATGCTGACGTGCCTCAAGGAAACTTTAGATGAGCCCCTTGAACCCCTGGCCTGGTATCGAGGGTCCCAGCCAGTGCCCTTCTTAGAGCTGAGCCTGGGGCTACCTGGCCTGGGTGTCCAAGTGGGCCCCCTGGGCATCCTGCTGCTCATCTTCAACGTCTCGGACCAGATGGGGGGCTTCTACCTCTGCCAGCCAGGGCCTCCTTCTGAGCAGGCTTGGCAGCCTGGCTGGACAGTCAGCGTGGAGGGCAGTGGTGAGGTCCAGGCCCAGCAGGGGACTGGGAGAGGAAAGGGAGGTTTGCTGTGGATTCGGGAGATCTAGGGGCCAAAATTGAACTGGAGGGAGGGGTTGAGGGGGCAGTCATATAACAGAGAAGCAGGGAGCCAGCTGTACCACATCTTTTTATCTCTCTTTTCTCTTTTACTCTTAGTCTCTGTTTCTCTTTCCTGACTCTCTGGGGTTTTGTCTTTGTCTTTTTGCATCTCTGTATAAGCATTGGACTACTAGCCAAAATGTCAGTGGCACAAGCCCACCAGCCGCTCCTTGGAAACCCTACACAGGGTCACCATGAGTCGGAACTGACTTGACAATGCACAACACCAACAATCCCTCTCTTAAATGTTGATTGGTTCTGGGTCTTTTCCTAGGGGAAATATTCAGGTGGAATGCTTCAGACCTAGATGGCCTAGGCTGTGTCCTGGGGAACATGTCCTCAGAGGTCCCCAGGCCCTCCTCTAGTTCCCCCACCAGCTCCCAGGTGTACGTGTGGGACAAAGATCATCCTGAGCTCTGGGAGGCAGACTCTGCATGTGTCCCACCTCGGGGCAGTCCAAACCGGAGCCTGGACCAAGGTAAGGTAACAGAAGCTTGGGGCGATGCCAGGAAGTGTAGGCAGGGGCTGGGGGAAGGGATTTGGAGTTGGAGGGCTTACAGAGGATGGAACTGCAAGAACTAGGCCTTCCTAGCTTTGCCTCTCCCTGCCTTAGACCTCACCGTGGCCCCCGGCTCCATCCTCTGGTTACCCTGTGGGGTGCCTCCCACCTCTGTGACCAGAGGCCCCATCTCCTGGACTTATGTGCACCCCAAGAAGCTTGAAGTCTCATTGATAAGCCTAGACCTGAAGAATGAGTACCCTGCCAGAGAGATGTGGGTGCAGGGGACCCTCTGGGGAGGGACTTCTCTGTTGCTACCCCAGGTCACAGTTCAAGATGCTGACATCTATCACTGTCACCATGGCAACGTGACCTTGGAGATTCAGCTGAAAGTCACTGCCAGGCCAGGTAGGGAGTTTTGTCCAATTGTGGTACATCTGGGTGAAGCTAAAAGGAATTGGAAGCTAGTCAGCTTTGGTCTCCTCACCTGAGAGGTGTCTCCTGAGGGTGTAGTTCACCATTTCTCATTCACTGTTTGTGCACCTCAGTTTACAGTGGGTTTGCTATCTATTATTGATCAGGTGGTATAGGAGTTGGTATTGGTTCTTGCCTAGTTGGGCTATATGGGCACAGTTTCTTCCCCTGTTGGGTGAGAAAGAGGAGAAACACTCCATTTCCTGTTGCCTGTGGGAATCTGCTCTGCCAGAACACCTTTCTCACCATGTCTGCTCAGCTTCTCCTCCCAGCAAACACTCAGTCCACATCTCTAACCTTTCCTCTGAAGTTCGGGGTTCCAGGATTTTTATCTGTCTGCTTCATTTGGTCTCTCCTGTCTTTGTTGTAGAGTGTCTGTGTAGGTCTGCCCAGTCCGCCATCTTGCCGAAAATCCCCATTCTGTTTCTTTAATACAATCACACTAAGCCATAATTCTCAAGTTCAGCCTCAACTTGGCTTCACAATGTGCCAAATCCCAACTCTAATCTTGTGAATTTAACTCTGCCCTTGACTTTGAACATGTCTGTCCTTAACTGCAGCATGAAGCTAATGCTTATGTTCCCCAATGTTAATTGCCTCTGACTACAGTCAAGGTTAGTTCATGGTCTGTTCAATAGGTACTGCTCCAGCCTCTGGCCAATCCCTGTTTTTCTGGGATGTAACTCCTCACATATGGAGGGAGGAGAATCCTCTCCATAGCTTAAGACTTCAAAGATCACTGTCTTGCCCCTGACTCCCAGATTTATGCCCTTTGAGATCTTGAGGCTGAGAAGTAAGATGCCAGTCCAGGGTCCTTGTCTGACCGTTCCCTTCCTCTAAACAGTATGGCACTGGCTGCTGAAGGCTGGTGGCTGGAAGGTACTAGTTGTGACTGTGGTTTATCTGATCATCTGCCTGGGTTCCCTGGTGGGCTTTCTTCATCTTCAAAGAGGTGAGTCATGCCCAAACCCTACTCATAGCTTCCTCAGGCTAAACCCATACTAGCTAATCTGACAACTCCCCCTCAACTCCCACCAGCCCTGATCCTGAGGAGGAAGAGAAAGCGAATGACTGACCCCACCAGGAGGTAATGCAGAAGACAAGTTGTCCTCCCCACCCCCACCCCCCAGCATGCCAATTTCACGTTATGTTTTTATTGTTTGCCCAGGGAGTCTTCCCTCCATTTCTGCCAATTGAAATAACTGCCCAACCTTCAAAGTTCTGCAAAACTGCCTTGATGAGCAGTATGGGCAGCTGCCTCTGTAGGTTGTTCCAATATTCAATAAAAACCCACTGCCATCAAGTGGATTCGGACTCAGAGTGATCCTGTGTAGCGTTTCTGATACTGTAAATCTTGATGGGAGCAGACAGCTTCATCATTTCTCCCTCTGAACATGCCGCTCGGTCGTTTGAAGCCGAACACCTAACACATAGCGCTACCAGGACTCCCAGCACAGAGGAGCTAATGACAAGTGGCCACGGAAACCTCAGAGAGGGTAGCTATGAGTCGGAACCAACTCGACGGCACTTAACAACTATGATGTTTTAACTTATGAGGGTCTCGCTTAAATCTTAGTGTAGCCCTAGCTTCCATCCCATTCCCCGGCCCCCAGCCAGGCCTGGCCTTAGAGTGTAAGTCCCCTTCCCCTACCAGGTTCTTCAAAGTGACACCTCCCCTGGGAAATGGACCCCAGAGCCAGTACGGGAACGTGCTGTCCCTGCCCGCGACTACCTCCACCACAGGTAGGCTTCGGATCCAGCCCCGCCCCTCCAGCCTACAGTTGTAGCCCAGAGCTGGAGCCGACCGACCAACCGTATGCCTCACCCCTCCAATCCTCTGAGCTCTAAGCCTTCTCCCCAAGCTCGGAGCTCCTCCTTCCGAATACTGAGACCGCCCAGATTAGATCCCTGCCTCCAAGATTCATAACTCAGCCCCCAGGTTTCAAAGTCTCTAGTCTAGTGGTGAGAACCAAATCTCACCCTAGAACTTGAGGCCACGCCCCAAATTTAGATCATGGCCTCACGACTCAAAGACTTGGACCTAGCCCCAGAGTCCGTCTCCAGAACCTGAAGCATCCTCTCCCCTGCTCCTGGCCCGCAGACCCTGGAGCTGGAAAGTCTGCGTCTTTTCTGACCCCTCCCCTCCCCTTACAACATCCCTCTCTCCAGGACGTGGTCAGCGGTGGGCTGCAGGCCTAGGGGTCGCTGCCCCGCCGTATGGAAAACCTCACAACGACTACCGTGAGACTGAAATCTCGACGCCTGGGAGCCCACTGGAAACTGGTAAGAGAGGGGGTCGTTACTGACACGGTGTGTGTGTGTGGAGTTGGAGAATCCCGTGGCAGGAACAGTGGACAGGGACGGTAACTCAGATCCCCAACCTCCGCCCCAGACCTGAAAGAGGAAGGGGAGTCCTATGAGGAGCCAGACAGTGAGAAAGCCTCGGGATCCTATGAGAACCACTCCAACACCTTTGGGCAGGACCAACTCTCCCAGGGTAAGTCTGTCCTCCCTTATCTCCTCAGTGGTGGGTTGTGGGCCCTCGATGAACGCTCCCTCCTTCTTATCAGATGGCAGCAACTATGAGAATCCTGAGGAAGGGACCCTGGCTTCGGAGGATGAGGACTCCTTCTCCAGCGGTAATTTGGAGACTTCCCAGGGCCTTGGGAGGAGTCCCAGGGCTGTGGAGACCCCAGGGCAGGAGTGGTCCCTGGAGTTCTTTTTTTCCCATCAGTATCCGAGTCTTATGAGAATGAGGATGAAGAGCTGGCCAGGCCAGTAACCAGGACAGTAGGTGTGTGTGAGGATGGTAACATTCCTGGGTGGGAAGGGGCATGAGGGGAGGAATTGGAGACCAGCAGCAATGGTCACTTTCTTCTTCCCATTCTAGGCTTCCTGAGCTCTCATGGGACTGTGTGGGACGCCAGCAGGGAGGCAACCTCTCTGGGTGAGAGATGCTTGGCACTGCCTACCTTGCCCAGCTGGGACTGACCTGGCCTCAACTCTGACCCCCAACACAACCTTGACATTGGCTCTGACCTCAGATCCAAATCCAATTCTGGCCTTAGATGTGACTCCTCACTAACCTCAACCCCAGTATTTATCCAACCCTAATCATGATGTTTCGTTCTGCTGTGCATGGGGTCGCTATGAGTTGGTTCTGACTCGATGGCACCTGACAACAACAACAACAATCATGATGCGGAACCCACTCCACGGCACATAACAACAACAACAAATCATGATTGTGAACACTGATCCCAATCCAATTCCAACCCTTACTTTGACTTTCACCCCAAGCCAGCCCAATGCAGACTTGAACTTTCACCCCAGCTCTCTACAATCTCATCAAGACTCTAATTTTGTCTCCTAGTTTTGATCTTGGCCGTTTCCTATGTGTAGCACTGTGGGTTAATCTGCTGGACTGCAAAGTCGGTTTGAACCGCAAGGTTGATGGTTCAAGCTTACCAGTTGCTCCTCGGAAACCCTATACAGGGTTGCTATGGATTGGAAAAGATTCAGCGACACTTAATATCAACAACATGCTTTAATCTAGTACACACCTGACCATCCTTGCGGCTGACCAGGGTCCTGAATCTGATGCTAACCCTAGTTCCACCTTCCTAGTGCAGTGTGGATTAAGATACCCTCCTTCCTCCACCCCTCAAGTCTCCCTCCTTACCTTACCTAAGGTTGCACTCTCCCTGTCCATGTCTGCCCCTCCCCCCCACCTGTCCCTCCATAGCTCCTGGACCTCCAATTCTCCATTTCCTGTCCAAGCAGGATCCCAGTCTTATGAAGATATGAGAGGGATCCTATATGCTGCCCCCCAGCTCCGCTTCCCTCGGGCCCAGCCTGGCCCCAGTTATGAAGAAGGTGGGTGCTTCTGCCACTGCCTCTTATGTGTTCTCTGATGTTGGCTTCCCCTCCCAGACTACTTCCAGCCCTACCTTGGTGTCATTCCCTCCTGGTCCTATCTAGATGCAGACTCCTATGAGAATATGGATAATCCTGATGGGCCAGAGCCAGCATGGGAAAGAGGAGGCCACATGGGGACTTGGAGCACCAGGTGACCCCTCCAGGTCAGGTGAGCTGGCAACTGCCCTCTAAGGGAAGGAGAGAAGAAAGGAGATGAGCAAGGATAGAAGTGGCTGCTGGCTTTCAGGGAAGGAGAGGTGAAGGGGTCCCAGGGCCTGATGGGAAGGGGAAGGGCTCCTGGACCTTTACCCCATCGCCATTTCTTCTACACAGGCTTCTGTGATCCACATCTAACTCTGAAATCTGGGAATCCCAAGCAACCTCTGGAGTAACTCAGCTCAGAATGTGTGTATGTGTTCTTGTGTGTGTGTTTGTGTGTGTGTGTGTGTGTGTTTATACTCAAGTGAAACTTCCGGTCCTCTCCCCTCTCCCCAAATAAACTCAGTGAACTCTTCCAATCCTATGAAGTAATGCGCTTGTGTGGGAGGGGAAGGAAAGGTGAGTGTTGGTGCATCCCTATCCCCTCTCAACTACAGTGGGTACAACCCTTTCCCTCCTGACAGCCTGGATACAACCCATTTCCCCAACATGCCTGTCACCCACCCAGTTCTTCACCATCTGCCACCCTCCCACCATCCAGTCAGTCTGGCACTGTTCATTCAGCAGTTGTGTGCTGGGGATTTAGTGAAGAAGAGGCAATCCAATCTAGTGGAAACCTCTCAGTACTGACATTTATTAAGCACTTACTATAGTGTAGGAGTCCTGGTGTGGCGCTGTGGGCTAATGCGTCAGACTGCAAAGTCGTTTGAACTGCAGCGTCAGTGGTTCAGGCTCACCAGCTGCTCCTTGGAAACCCCATACCGGGTCGCTATGGGTCGGAATCAACTGGACAGCACTTAACAACAACAACAACATAGTGTAAGCATATCAATGAGCTCATTTTATCCTTACAATGACCTCACAAGGTTATTGGACACTTACTAGGTACCACGATTGCTTAGAGGACTTTATGTCTATATTAACTCATTTTATCTTTACAAGTAGCTCTATGAGGTAGCTCTACAATTATTATCCCCATTTCATAGATGAGGAGACTGAGGCAGATTAGTTAAATAACCAAGTTTGCCTAGCTAATAAGTGGCAAGGTCAGGAGGACTTGAACTCAAAGCCTATACCACTTAATCTATACTAAATCAGAACTGACTCCAGAGCCCTATGCTAAGTCCTGTCCCTAGGTGTAATTTTATATGGAGAAACTGAGTCAGAGAGGCTAAGTTACCTGTCTGAGGTCATACTCAGTAAGTATTGTGCTTACTCCTTATGCAAAGGAGCTCTGGTAGCATAGTGGTTACGAGTTGGGCTGTTAACCTCAAGGTTAGTAGTTTGAAACTACCAGTTACTCCGCAGGAGAAAGATGAGTCTTTCTGCTCCTGTAAAGATTTACAACTTCAGCAACCCTATACTGGGTCTTTATGAATGAGAACCAACTCCATGGCAGGCACACCACCACCACTACTCCTTATGCAAGGAGTCCTGCTGTGGCCCTGCAGGTTAATGTACTGAACTGCAAATTCGGTTTGAACTGCAAGGTAGGTGGTTCAAACTCACCAGCTGCTCCTCAGAAACTGTATACAGGGTTGCTATGAGTCACAATCCACTGGTGGGCACTTAACAACAACAACAACTCCTTATGCAAACTGCAAGCACAACAATTTTCAGAGATAAGGGTCTTCAGTCCTTGAAGTTGCTATGTGGCAAGCTCCACCACACCCCAATTGTTGTTTCAGGTGAAGGTGGAGTCAAATCAGTCCCTGGTATTCCTGATGCCTTCTGTCAAGTCTGCTTGTCACCAGTCTCCCAGTAACAATGGCTTTCTGAAACCCTGGAGCGACTTGCCCTCATCAATGTTCCCTGCAAGTCTGAACTCTTTTTTTTTTTGTTTTTTTAAATGCAAGAGTTCTTTCTTCATAATGTCCTGTTTTTGTTTTATAGACTCTATTCCTTCCTTTCTCTATGGACTTTAAAAGTTATTGTATCTGCACAATTATTTCTTGTGACAGGCATTGTTTTAAGTTCTTTGCAGGAAGCATCTCATTTCATTATTGCAAAATCCAGTGAGGTAGCTGGTGTGGTTATGTGCTGTTAAGTCAGTCCCAACTCCTGTACAGGGTTTCTGAGGCTGTAAATCTTTACATAAGCAGAAAGCCTCATCTTTCTTCAGTGGAGGGGCTGGTGGATTCAAACTGCTTACCTTGCAGTTAGCAGCCCAACACAGAAGATAAGTGTACAAGAAGCGAAACAAACCCCAAGTAAGCTAGATTCCAAAGGAAAACCATCAAGACATATGATCAAACTTTCCAAAGCTAAAGACAGGGAAAGAATCCTGAGAGCAGCTCAGGAAAAACAAAAAGTTACCTACAAAGGAGAACCAATAAGACTAAGCCCTGATTTCTCAGCACACACCATGCAGGTGAGAAGGCAAACTCTGAAAGGAAAAAAAAAATGTCAACCACGAATCATACGTTCAGCAAAGGTGTCCCTCAAATATGATGGCAAAATCAGGATGCTTCCTGATCAACAGAAATGAAAGGCATTTGTAATGTCCAGACCAACTTTACAAAAAAATGAAAGCATGTTCTTTGGACAGAGACTCAACAACAGCAGATAACAATCTGAGATTCTCACACATGACACACTACCCAGAACCTAATCCAGATATAGTATTTAAAGTAAAATAAACCTGCAAGACTTAAAATAGGGAACTAGAGAGATCAATTTATAATGGTTTCAACTGCAGAGCAAAAAGAAGGAATAGTTTAGGTACAGAACATCCACGTAGTGAGGAAGTTAAGTAGATTTCACAATAAAAACAGACTGTTTTAAACAAGAAAAAAAAAAATAAACTACAGTGTAACCTCAAAGAAAATTCATAAACCTTTACATCAAAATAAAAAAGAGGAAAATCAGAAGATTTAGTAAACATTACTGCAAAAGAAAAGAAATCAAAAGAAAATCCACAAACACAATGAACTCAGCACAGAAAAGTATGTGGAACAAAGAACCAGCAGCACCATGTTGTTGTTATGTGCCGTAGAGTCAATTCCGACTCATAGTGAAGGGTTTCCCAGGCTGTAAATCTTTATGGGAGCAGAAAGCCTCATCTTCCTCCTGCGGAACAGCTGGTAGTTTTGAACTGCCGACCTTGAGGTTAGCAGCCCGATTCGTAACCACTAGGTTACCAAGCTCCTAGCAGCACCATACATACAGCAAAAATGACAGCAATTAATTCAGACCAACCAATAATTACCCTGAATGTAAATGAATTAAATGCAACAGTCAAGAGATAGAGCAGAAGAGATAAGAAAACAGGATCTTTCATTATGCTGTCTACAATAGACACATCAAAAAAGTGGAGACAGCCTAAGTGCCCATCTATAGAAAAATGGTTAAACAAAATTTGGTACATTCAAAGTAATGCTACACAACATTGAAAAATAATGATGAATCTTGGAAACACCTCACAACCTGAGTGAAATTAGTCAATGATAAGAGGACAAATGCTGTGTGAGATTACTGCTGTAAAATGTTAAGGAAAAAAAAGGCTTTAGTGATAAAAGAAACTTTCTAGATGGTGACAGGGGTAGGTGAGAATTATTCATGGACTCCTGGTATGGTGCTGTAGGATCAGCACTGGACTGTAAATCGCAAGGTTGACAGTTCAAACCCAGCTGCGCCTCAGATACCCTATACAAGGTTGCTATGAGTCGGAACTGACTCGATGGCATGTAACAACAACAACAGAAGGTAGACATGGATTAATATGTGTGACAGGGCAGATAATATGCAACAGGAGGGAAGTTGAAGGGGAAGGATCAAAGTAGTGGGAGACACAGGGAGGAATGCAAGAGCTAAAGTGAATAGAGGTAAATACGTAAATACTGTTAACTGTTAGTCCATGGAGGGGATTACAATCATTGTAATGAAGCAAAGTATATTATTTGCTGAATGTAAAACTGACAATCTGCTCTGTAAACCTTCACTGAATTCACAATAAAAAGTAAAAAACAAAAATCCTCACAAGTGGACCAATAGACAACATCATGTTAGATGGAGAAATGATGGACATTATCAAAGAGTTCATTTGACATGGATCCACAGTAATTACCCATGGAAGCAGTAGTCAAGAAAACAAATGCATTGCATGGACAAATTTGCTTCAAAAGAGCTCCTTAAAGGGTTAAAGAGCAAATGTGTCAATTTGAGGGCTAATATGCACCTGACCCAAGCCATGTTCTAATTTTCAGCTGCCTTGTATGCACGTGAAAGCTGGACAATGAATAGAGATGACTGTAGAAGAATTGATACATTTGAATTATGGTGTTGGTTAAGAATATTCAAAGTACCATGGACTGCCAGAAAAACAGACAAATCAGCCTTGGAGGAAGTCCAGCCAGAATGTTTCCTGGAAGCAAGGGTGGTGAGACCGGACTCATATACTTTGGACATATTTTCAGGAAGGACTAGTCCTTGGAGAAGGACATCATGCTTGGTAAAGTGGAGGGTCATCAATAAAGAGCAAGACCCCCCCTTGAAATGGACTGACTCAGGGGCTATAACAGTGGGCTCAACCTCAACTATAACAACAAGGGTGAGGATGGCAAAGGACTGGTGTGTCGTTCTGTTGTACAGAGGGAGACTGTGAGTTGGAACAGACTTGATGACGTCTTGGTGAATTCTCCCATGGCAGTGATACCATGGAAGGTTTCTTTTGACTCTTCTGTTTCTCTTTTGTGAGTGAGTCACCAGTGAGAATTCTGTGAGTTCCCTGGGCCCCACTGACTTCTCCTGGGGCCAGCTTGCTTCTGCTTCCACCGCGGCCTTACAGGTTATACAGGTTTCCAACTAGTTTATTCCTGAGTTTCTCAGAGCAGGTTTTTGCATCAGAGGTTTAGTCTAAATCCAGGTCCTTTGGTGAATCTTGGGATTCTGACTTCTCTCAGTAGACACTCACTGTCTGTTGAGTAGTCTGCTTCCATACCACTGTGGAAGGATTTTCCACAGTGCCCAGATGTGCATGGAGTTCAGTGTCAGCCCT